ACAAGCATGCATTGCTGGCTGGCAGGCTGAAGGGTCTCAGGACAATGCTGGATAAACAAACTTGGTGTCTACCCCATCTGTTCGCCAGCTACTCTAAAAACTACATGTGTTCTCGGAGGAACTGCAGTGATAATAGGTCCGCGGTACCACAGAAGCGAAAATACCATATTGTAGAACAACACATTGGACAGTTGCTTGTTTACTTCACGGCTCTCTTGGTGCAGATTTGCATAACTCTTTGTTTACCCTTGTTGGCCATTGTCAGGGTTTGGCCAGGTCTTGAGAGTTAGTTTCTATTTTTGTTGTTTCGTTATGATAAAGATGGGGTTAATTATTGCACAGTTTGACTCCTGCAGGCAGACCGATGTAAGCGGGGCAGTCTAATGTCTTGTGATCTTCATGTATCGTGGTACTTGGCTTGGACTGCCTAAACCCACTTATCTTGACGTGGCAGAAGTTTTACCTGTCAAGACCCGTGGGTCATCTTAAACACAATGTTTCATTGGACCTTAATGTTTCCCCAAATGTCTTATGTTGTTTGTTGATTAACCAAAGTTTTTTTGCCCTCCATCTTAGTCTACTGTAAACAAGAGATATTGAAAGTATGTCTATAATTTTTCCAGGCTGGGCCTCCCTGACTAAGCCACACACAGATGCCCTTCTCTGGAATACATATGCAGAAATGTGTGTATACTTACTTGAGTTTGCTTTCTCTCACTCTTTGTATCCTTGTGGAAAATAGAATTTGAGGTGTAAGGATGTATAGCCTTTTGTTTCTGTCTACACTCGTTTTTCTTAAAATAACGTGTTGTGCTACAGCTATTTTTTTTTTTCTAATAATTATACGTGGCCGTGCGTGTGGGTGTGTATATGCTAGTGTGAGTGTGCGCGTGCGTGTGGTCATGGTTTTGGGATGTTGTGCCAGGAAGGTGGGGCTAATGGGTGCTTGGGTGGGGTTATGGATAAAAGCCTGATAGCACTGGAAGTGGTGCGTTAGCTGAAAGAGCAAAAGTTTGCACTAATGTTAAATGTCCTTGTCCTGCTTATGGGAAAAGGACAGGGGACCTCAGAAAGGCCTGCGAGTTTCCATGAGCACAGAGCAGTGTGGTTAATACTCAATGGTCTCATTAAGAGTCCATCCAACCCCTCCGTAGAAATAATCATGTATAGTATATTCAAAATATACAGACGTCCAGCAACAATAAACACCAAAGGAGAAAAAAAAACTGCTTTCATTTAAGTCACTGGGCATTTTAAGCTACCAATGTAATGTTTGATTATTAGTTTTACTGTTTAATCTGAAGGCTCTTAAAAAGAGATTTGGGATTTTTTTTTTTTGTTTGTTTGTCTTTTTGATAGAAGTCAATCATACGTGCTCTTTATACATGAAAATCTAAATATAGAAAATTTAGGCAAGCAGCAAATCTTCTCTGAAAAAACAAAAAAAACCCTACTCGTTCCTGATGATGGCTCAGATGCAATGTTTGACGATGCCACAGATACTCATTCCAGTCCTTTGTCATTCTGAGATTTTTGTCTTATGTTGAGTCCACTGACGGATTATCAATCCTAAAATCTGATGTGTTTTTTAAATACTCTTACTTTTGTTACTGCTGAATTGGATGATTTCCATTTACCTTCTGCTGTTTGAGCTGAGTTTAAATGTTCTCTGGTTGAGACAGACGGTGACTTTGTGGCCTTGACTGGGCAGTGCTGAGCTCATGGTGGTGTGTGTGTTTTCAGACGGTAATGTCATGCAGCGTGGGGCTGAGGCTCACTCCCACCAGGTGGATTGTGCAGACACAAGGGCCACAGTGTGCCTTATGTGGACAGGAATAAAAAAACTTAAAAAAAACAAAACAATTTTTTTATTTTTATTTTTTTTTTTTTTTACCATTTAAACACTTTTCTTGTAACATTGAAACCAAATTTTGAAAACTGATTGGCTCGTACTAAAACGATAGTTAGTACTGAATGAACTGATATATTAGTGTCTCTCTCTGCCTCCGTGGCTCCACAGCTGGTGTGTCCCCAGCCTCAGCCCCAGGCCAAGGTTACTCTGACACAGGCTGCACCAAGACAGTCTCAGAACTTCATTGCAACTGTGTTTTGTTTTGTTTTATCCTTTTCTTTCAAATGGACCTTGAAATGTTATTTTTTTTCTGTGCTATTATCAAAGACTTTTTGTAAATCTATCTGAGAAGGCCATAAAACAAAGACAATAACAAGCACGATAACTGCAAAAATCAAACAAAGCACGATGGGGTGACTGTTAATATGGTGATATGGCGACTCGTGGCAGCAGAAAGGGGGCTGTTTGCTTTGCTTCGTCATTTTGCTGCACACCTGATTTATTTTTTTGCACGTTTTCCATCAGGCTGTCGAAGCAGGGCAAGCTGAGCGCAGCATATGCAGTACGGCAGTATGCACAGCGTGGCTCTGGCACTTACACAGACAGCCCTGGGTCCTTCAGAGAGGCAGGCTGCTGTCTGTTGGCTGCTCTCAGCCAAGCGGGGACAGTTTGC